TACGTTGGTTTTTAACAAGAATAAATTACGGTTACATGTAAATAATGATTGTTGTCAATACGTTGGTTTTTAACAAGAATAAATTACGGTTACATGTAAATAATGATTGTTGTCAATACGTTGGGTTTTAACAAGAATAAATTACGGTTACATGTAAATAATGATTGTTGTCAATACGTTGGTTTTAACAAGAATAAATTACGGTTACATGTAAATAATGATTGTTATCAATACCTTGGTTTTAACAAGAAGAAATTACGGTTACATGTAAATAATGATTGTTGTCAACACGTTGGTTTTAACAAGAATAAATTACCGTTACATATAGATAATGATTGTTATCAATACGTTGGTTTTAACAAGAAGAAATTACGGTTACATGTAAATAATGATTGTTTATAATTTGTGTACATAGGTGCAGTTCATACTGTCTGGAGAGGATGACGAGACAGAAGTTAGGACTTTTGGTGATGACAACCGTAAAATTTTCAGAAGAGGTGGATTGGACACTTTCATTATGACTGTACCAAGGTAACAAAGGACATCTTTGTATGACACTTTCATTATGACTGTATCAAGGTAACAAAGGACATCTTTGTATGACACTTTCATTATGACTGTACCAAGGTAACAAAGGACATTTTTGTATGACACTATCATTATGACTGTACCAGATAACAAAGGACATCTTTGTATGACACTTTCATTATGACTGTATCAAGGTAAACAAAGGACATCTTTGTATGACACTTTCATTATGACTGTACCAAGGTAACAAAGGACATCTTTGTATGACACTTTCATTATGACTGTATCAAGGTAACAAATGGCATCTTTGTATGACACTTTCATTATGACTGTACCAAGGTAACAAAGGACATCTTTGTATAACACTTTCATTATGACTGTATCAAGGTAAACAAAGGACATCTTTGTATAACACTTTCATTATGACTGTATCAAGGTAAACAAAGGACATCTTTGTATGACACTTTCATTATGACTGTATCAAGGTAACAAAGGACATCTTTGTATGACACTTTCATTATGACTGTACCAGATAACAAAGGACATCTTTGTATGACACTTTCATTATGACTGTACCAAGGTAACAAAGGACATCTCTGTATGACACTTTCATTATGACTGTACCAAGGTAACAAAGAACATCTTTGTATGACACTTTCATTATGACTGTATCAAGGTAACAAAGGACATCTTTGTATGACACTTTCATTATGACTGTATCAAGGTAACAAAGGACATCTTTGTATGACACTTTCATTATGACTGTACCAAGGTAAACAAATGACATCTTTGTATCAAGACAAAACGCACTTGTATTTTATAGCTGTTTCAATGCACAAGACCCAGAGAATAATTCCATTATTTTTAGTACCAAACTGGTCATGTTATTAGGAATTATACCTAACAGTTTGTTGGAGCCATAATACAACGTGATGTTAAATCCAGAACATGCTGTAAGGTGTTCTGGGAAGGGTGGGATTCCATTCAGTCAATAATATCATACACAATTCATGGAGCGAAATAGGCAGAGGATTGTTCATCCCAAGAATGTTCGATCGGAATGAGATCCTGGGACTGTGATACCCATAGGAGATGTTCCTAAAACCATCCAACAGTCCTAAGGTATGCCGAAAAAACATGTACCCAATAATGGCTCCACAGGAAAGGTGAGTTATTATTGTGGATTTCTCCAAATCTGTCATCTGTCAACTCTGCAACAACGCGTAAAGCGTAATTCATTAGACCTCATCAATTTTCCCCAGTCCTTATTATAGTCTGCGCTCTCTACACCACTAAAAACGTTTTTTCTTGTTGGTAACTTGGTCCAGTGACTCCTACTGCTGGAAACATTTTCGCAAGGTTCAGCTGGAGATGGTTGTGAATTACCCTGGATTGAAACCCTTTCGGTCTTTCGGCAATTACTTGTTTGTGGCTACAACCCCCCCCCCCCTTACAGAAGACATTTTATTCAACTTTTTCCATTGGTGATAAACTTAACTGGAATAGCCGACAATAAAACTGTTTTGGCCACTATTATGCTAGACGTGCACCCAGAATCATGCCTCTTTTGAACAATGGAATTTCTTAGCCTTTCCTCTTGTCTGTAAGACTGGCTACAAATATAATGGTTGGAGACAGCTTGAATGGGTAATGAAGAAAAACTTTAATATAAATTTAACATAACAGCAAATGTACAAAGTTTCGACAAGGTTTTGTCATCATCA